TATATATATATATATATATATATATATATATATATATATATATATATATATATATATATATATATATATATATATATATATATATATATATATATATATACATACATACATACATTTTTGTTGAGCAAAGTAGTTTTTCTCGTTTCAGTGTTAATATATTTTTGAGATTTTCACCTTGACTTGTGCTTTAGATGCTAAAGGGCGTTGTGAAGTCGATTGCAATAGACTTTGATGTAGTCAACATAGCCAAAGATGCAAAAGGGTCGAAGGAATCAAAGGTAGCAGAAGTAGGAGCCGACATTGAGCTGGTAATCAACAACAATTGTTAAGTTTGGTGCTGTTGTTAGCAAATAGCCACTCATCAATTACATCTCTCTGCAAGCGAAAGTCTTAACTGGCACTCCTCAGATTGTTAAGTTTGGTACCGTTGGGTGCATCTGAGACTCAGTAGGAAAAAGCGGCAAGTGGTTTCTCATCCAATTTTCGATTTGAACAGTTGACATATTTGGCATTCATGTACCACCGGGTTTTTTTTTGAAGGAAGTCTTGTGTTTTATTTCATATTGAAGGTGGGGATTAGATTGAGGGAGCCCTCTTTGATTGGAGGGAGGTGGTATAACATTTATCTTATTTAGTTGTTTATTTTTTTTGTGCTGAATCTTTTGTGCAGACAACTAAAATGTGAGTTCTAATATTTCTTTTGCGGTAATGCCATAAAGAGTCATTGCATGTCGTCTCGCTTCCCTGCAGGAACTCGAGGGACCGATAGTAATGCAAAACGTATCGGTCGATGCGCAGCCATTTTCTGGTATCGATCGAATTGCAAATCTAAACCTTGGATTTTAAATGGATGAGATATGTCCCGTCGCAGCAAATCTAAACCTTGGATTTGAGTACGACTGCGGGTTCTGAATGCCGTAGTTGAGAATGGGGGCGTTGACTCTGGCCTTCTCAGGGCCGTTTTAAATATTTTGGGCCACTTTTGTCACCTCATCATGCCTCTTTATTCTTCGTTCAAGAACGCCTGCTTCTGCTCACCATCGGTGATTCTAAGAACTGAAAGTTTGGACGATTTTGGACCGTTTTAAATTTTTTTGGGGCCCTTCATCGCCCATCCCGTGTGCGGTAAGCTCACATCGGGTCACCGTGTCTCTTTATAATTCACTGAAGAACTATTGGTTCTAGTCACCGACGGTGAGAGTAAGAACCCAAAGCTTGGACGATTTCGTACCTTTTTTATTTTTTTGGGGCCCTTTATCGCCCGTTCCATGGGCGGTAAGGTCACATGTGGTCAGCGTATCTATGGCTCATCATTCGACAACTCCTGGTTCTGGTCACCGCTAGTGAGAGTAAGAACGCAATGCTTGGACGATTTCGTACCTTTTTAATTTTTTTGGGGCCCTTTATCGCCCATTCCGTGTGCGGTAAGATCACATGTGGTCAGCGTATCTACTGTTGATCGTTCGAGAACTGCTGGTTCCAGTCACCGTGCGTGACAATAAGAAGTATAAGTTTGAAAGATTTCGGAAGGTTTTAAATTTTTTTGGGCCTTTTATCCCCCATTCGGTGCGCGGTAAGCCCACCGAGATGGTCATCGTATCTTAGACCGTTTTTTATTTTTTTGGGCTCCTTTTATCACCCACAGGGCCGTGTCGTACGCACACTGTGGTGTCATCCTATTCCAGATCGTGCACGTCGAGGTCAATGTCCTACGTCGTCGGATCGCGAGCGAGCGGTCAATCTCGGCCGGCCTCCTCTTAGAGCTGAGGCGCGTCACTGCTGCCGATTCAAACGGCAGGAGGTGGGAGCTTTGAGCTTTTCTCCATCCTCTTCGACTCTCTCTCTCTCTCTGTCTCTCTCTCTCACCATCATTCTTCTTGTCGTATGTCCTTTGTTTCTTCTTGTTGTGGATGGCAATGAGGTAGGCGAAGAAGATGTTCTTCTTCTTCTTGTCGTGTCGTTCACCGAATGATGACGGTGCGACGAGACCTCCGTCGCAGGAGACTGCTCTGCGCATGCGCGGTTCCGTCGTTCCTCACCGGTGCCCATCTCCTGCTCTTCCTCCTCGCATGATGCTTGCTTGTTCAACCCCAACCCCCCATTCTCCCTTACCAATAATATGCAGTCTTTGATTCCTACGCATTTCGAACATTACCAATAATGAATCACAATCATTAACTCAGCTGCTATGCATTAATTAAACCAACCAACCAACCTTCAGAGTGACATGGTATTATTATTATTATTATTATATGATGTACAACAACATCATTTGATATATCAAATGGCATAGGCCAACAACCGACCTGTTTCATAGCAGCAACTGGTGGTGACCGACACATGTGAAGGGTGGGTCTTACAACTTTACTGTGGTTCAAAATCAAGTGACCAAAACTATATACATCTAGTCATTGTCGATAAATAGTAGATTGGTCCCCAACTGAAGTGTGTGTGTGTGTGTATCCATGGATTTCATGTCCATGGACTGACAGTGGTAAGAGGAAAAAAAAAAAAACAATGGTTACGATTGCCGGTGAGAGATATAAAGAACACGCTGTCAACTGAAAACATCATTATTCTTCTTCTATATATGATATCATGCAGTTGACGAAATGGGAGGATTGGGTTTCCCGACTCACATATCTCGAGTACATATTTTTCTTATACCTCCTGTCATGACAGGTTTCATTTTATGCGAGTCGATTTTTCTTTTTATCAACCTCATAGATGGTGCCCAACTCATGATATTACTTGATAGTGTTCATCACGGAGGTTATTAATTGATAACTCAAGTTTTTGAAAAACAACAAAGTATAGGATATTAGTAAAACTATATATGTCAATCATGACCCTCTCCAGTCGAGCGTTGATCATCCTCATAGAAACTACCAAGGGATTGTCATGATTAGGGTCAAGATACTCAATCTCTTTCTCCTTAAGGTTATCTCTAGGTTATTCTCCGCTCTCGGACACTTTTTAATAGTAGCTCAAGCATAAGCTTTACGACCTGAGGAGTTGTCACCCTCCGAGGCGAGTCCACCAATGATGATGTCAATATGTCTCTCTATTAGCCCCTAAGGTTAGGGTGAGGGTTCCCAATACTTTTGGACAAATCGCTCGAGGTGTCCCGAACATATGAGCTCTTCAATATGCTCTTTCAAGTCACGACAATCCGCTATATCGTGGTTGTAATCCCAGTGGAACCGATATTATTTGGACCTCTCTTTTTGCCAACGAGGTCTTTATCGGGTAAGGGTCTTTTAATAGATCCTTGGCGACCTCAGAGTCGGGGCGAATTATGGTCGGTCTTGCTTCGACCTCTTGCATGACTCCTCACGTTTGCCCGATGCCATTGCTTCAACGACGATGTATTGTTTAGCCCTTTACAATACCTCTAGTACAGTCATCGGTGGTCTCTCTATCAACAACCAAAAGAGACAATAGGGATTGAGCCCCATCATGAAAGACAATATTATGAGTGATGGATGGACATCTACCACGTTCTAGATCTCATTCATGAGCCGACCGACGAAGATTGCGAGCATTTCCTCCTCTCCTTCATAGGCTCGAGGAGTATTGACATTTATGGCCATGAGCATACGTTCCCGAGGAAATGAAGTTCGAATCCCTTACAAGCTAGGTAAAAGAACTAATGGAAAGCGACTCCAAGCGGGCATACCATTCTCGTGTGGGACTTCTTAACATGGTCAGGAAGGTGTAACATATCAAGGTGTTTGAAATTTAGTGGCTCGCACCATCACTTTAGGGTCAAGATACTCAATCTCTTCCTCCTTGAAGGTTATCTCTAGGTTGTCTTCCGTTCTCGGACACTTTTTAATAGTAGCTCGAGCATAAGCCTTACGACCCAAGGAGATGTCACCCCTCGAGGCGAGTCCACCAATGATGATGTCAATATGTCTCTCCATTAGCCCTTAAGGTTGGGGTGAGGGTTCCCGATGCTTTTGGACAAATCGCTCGAGGTGTCCCTAACATATGAGTTTTTCAATATGCTCTTTCAAGTTACGACAATCCGCTATATCGTGGTTGTAATCCCGGTGGTTGTAATCCGCTATGTCGGGCAGGGTAAAGTGATGGTGCGATCCACTAAATTTCATGGTTGGGAACCGAAGTGGCCCCTTGGCCAATAGTTTGACAAGTCTCGAGTGCTCTTGGGATGTTGGCATCACATTAGGTCGGGGAACCTCAACAAATGCCAATGCCGATGGCAGTTGAGCCAGGGATCATGGTTGAGTTGGTTGCACCGCCTATTGGGCTAACTAGGGGAAAAGAAGAGTGACGACCTGTATCATGCCCGTTAACATTTGCACTAGTTGAGTGAGATTCAGGACCACATCAATGGGGTCGAGTAGGTGGCTTGGGGTCATCCCTAGGGGTGAGAGACCCTGGTCGTTGAATAGACACCAGTATCACATAGGTGTCTACACGAAGGTGGATGCACCCATGTGCGAAAATGGTGGCTATTATCCCCTTGGGTGAAAGTACTATGGGTTAGGACAAAGTCTCTTCACTCGAGCGTTCATTGAGAAGGTTAGTGGGCGATCGTTCTTGCAACATGGAGCCCTCCTTCTAACATAAAATATTATTACGGGAAGAAATCATTGATCGCTTGATTGACCCAACATGGTCCAGACTCATGTGCGTAGGGTTGTCCGAGGTGGAAACGCTAAGCTCTAAAGGTGTCACTTGCATGAAGACCGAGGTCAGGAGAGGTTTTCCAACCCGATCCCTCCGATGCCCAAGTTAGTAAGCCGAGGTAGGTGAGTGTAGACACGAGTGATAAAAAAAATGGTCTCTTTCGTTGTGTTAAACATGAGTTTTTATATCTAATCGTAAAGGGACAGAATATTCCATGAAATATTTTATGATGATATAACCTCTAACCACTCCAACAACCTCTCATTGACCTTTTATCCACGTGGGCAGACATGTGGAGGGTGGTCTCCGTCTTCTCCTTCCATCCTAAAGATCACTTGAAGACTGTGTCGAATGACGATTAACTTGAAGACTGTGTCGAATGACGATTGACTGACTATATTCTCTCTATTAAATTATCCAATAATACCAACCGAAGAATCAAACTCAACAAAAAGTATTAAAAAAAACATTAAACATTTTCGATTCAGTTTTGTATTTTGTATAGGAATTCAAACAAATAAAAAGAATCTAGTTTCTGTAGCATTTATTTCTGTAGTTTCCCAATCATTCCACATGGTCCAAGCCAAATATTAATTACTTCTATGGTATGTTTCGATGTGTGGTAAATATACTGCAGGGCCTGATATCAAAGTATTATTACTCCAATTTCAACTTCTTCCCTCCATCATCGCTTATAACTCCATTAAACTTCATAGCATCAACTTTGTTAACACTCAAACGCCAAAGTTTAGAAAAATCCTGGTACTTCAATTCCATGATTATATTAATGCAACATTTTAATACTTTGAAATCTTTTATCCTATGGCATATATTTCCTAACCTGCCAAACATTGCCTTATCCGTAGAAGAACTACTCATCTAAGACGAGGCACTTTACGAGAAATAAAGAATTTTCTCCTACTTTGACCTTGTTTCCCCAATCATTCCTTTATCCCTTGCCTATAGCTACACTAAGAAAAATGCACATGCGCAGATTAACATGTCATTCATCCGCAAAAATTAAATCTTATGACAAAGAAGTATACATATCAGTTCTAAAGCAATAACAAGAAGGATAAAACAATATTATGCATTGAGTTGAACAAACCAGTCCCGCTAGTACAGTGTCCAAAGTGGAGAAACCGATGGTATTAGCCTCTTCATCTCACGGACTACTTTGCTAGGTAAAGCAACAGCGGATAAATTTCAATAAACTAGCAAATTGTACTTGAGGCAAAAAACAAAAAAAAAAGAATGATATAGGCATGCCAACTATTAGCATAGAATAGTTGATCTCTTTTGTATTTGCTAATGTGAAACTCCATCCAAGACATTTGCTTGGTTTAGTGTACTAAATTCTTACTTTTTTGGTGTGCGGGTGGTGATTGAGGTTTATATCCAAGTTGGCTACTAAATAAAAAATCTTTGGTGATTGAGGTCACTAAAAATTGTTAAGATCAAGAGTACTAATAGAGGGGTGAATTAGTGCAGCAAAAAACTTTCGAGGATTTAAAACTGCGTTCGTATGATAAAATCGTTTCTGACGTAAAACCGTTTTCGGAAACTTAACTTGAAAACAAGTTCGTAAATGAGTGCAGCAAAAGTAATGAGGAAGTAAAGCACATATGGAGGTTTGCAGTAAGGTAAGCAGTAAGAATAAATGCAAACCAGAGAAGACGAGAGTTTATAGTGGTTCGGTCAATCGTGACCTATATCCACTCCTCCGATTCCTCTTCCGTCGAGGCCACCGGCATCCACTAACGATCTTCCATTACTAGGCGAAGATCAACCTCCTTCTTACACCCCTCTTCTCCTTTTACCGAGTTTAGGAGAC